TATATATATACATGTATACATACATGTATACATACATGTATATATATGTATATATACATATGTACACACGTACACACACACACACACACACACACACACACACACACACACACACACACACACACACACACACACACACACACACACACACACACACACTCTCTTTAACCCAATGGCGCTGGGTGCACAAAACAAAACAAAAAAAACTCTACGCTTAAACAAACAAAGGCGGTGCGCAGACTTTGAGCGCGTGAGTAGGGGACATCAGCCCGATTCACTGGCTCGCCGCGCTTTGGCGCACCGCCGGCTCGTTTGGCTGCACGCCAGCTTTCGAGCACTTTGTTTACACGCCGATCGGCGTCACCCGGCACCAAGGGGTTAAGCCATTGCCGCCGGGGAAAATGCTGTACCTATTTTCTATACTTTTTTGTTAAATGTCTGCCCATAGATGGCTCTCTTAGCACCTGATTTGAACATTAGTAACAGCAAAAATAAGATAACATAAAATATTTCGTAAATCAAAGAAAAGGGTGAACAGGCGAGACGGGCAGTACTCGTAATTGGCTCATTGGTGATTTAGTACAAGTGTTGCCATCTATATGTAAAAACAATCCAACAAGTAATCTCACAGTGGGCGGGAATGGGTTAACCCATTCGCGCCGGGTAAAAATGAACAAAAAAACGGGGAAATGCTGTGCTCATTTTTTAATATTTTTTAATGAAATTTCTCTACACTAGATGGCTCTGCTTTACCCGATTTCATTTGGCGGGAAACTGTATTTTTACTAGTCCTATGAATATCGATGGTTATTTTTATTATAAACATTATAATTACTATAATGTTATAAACATTAGTAACAGCAAAATAAGATAATGCAAAATAATTTCGTAAATTAAAGAAAAGGGTAAACAGACGAGACAGGCAGTGCAAGTGGAGCCATCTATGTTTGTAAATAATCAAACAAGTAAACTCACAGTGGGCCCGTCACGTATACGTGACACCCGGCGCGAATGGGTTAACCCATTGCTGACGATGAAAATGAAAAAAAAAAAAAAAAAAAAAAAAAAAAAAAAAAAAAAAAAAAAAAAAAAAAAAAATGGGGACTATGCTGAGCTCATTTTTTATATTTTTTTTTGTGAAATGTCACTACACATAGATAGCTCTGCCTTATCTGATTTCACCTTTCTTTGAATTGGTGGGAAAATGCATTTTTTTACTAGTGCTATGAATATCGATGGTGTTATTATTATCATAAACATAATTACTATAAAGTTATAAACATTAGTAACAGCAAAATAAGATATATTTCAAAAATTAAAGAAAAGGGTGAACGGGCAAGACAGGCAGTACTCGTAATTAGTTCATTGGTGGTTTAGTACAAGTGTAGCCATCTATGTGTAAAAACAATCAAATAAGTGAACTCACAGTGGGCATGGCATGGCATGCCCATCGGCAAAGGGTTAAGGAAAGTTAAAGGAGAGTCATCTTTTTTGAATTCACAGAAATATGCATATACATATCTATTCATAAGGATAATCCCCATACCCTACATCTGTAACAGATTTATAGAAAATAACTAGGGCTACATACCCAAAACCTGCTAGGAACTGGCAGTCTTCCTTGAGGTTAGTTGCCACTTTGCGGAACACTTCATACTCAGGGACATCTTTGTTTTCAAAGTAACCAATCACAGTCCTTTTTGTCTCCTGTAAAATAAGTTTAATGAAAGAACTCAAATGTACTTCTAGAATGGTAAACATTAACAGTGAGTAGTACCCAACTATTCTACATTTAGTCCAAAGGTTCCTAAAGACTTCTCCATAATTGGACCTTAACCACTCAATGATGGTATCAGAAATCTCTCAGTACCACTGAGTCCTGTGACTTCTGGAAACTATCCTGCTGTTTGGCCCAGGAGACCATTACATCTAGCAGAACTTTCCCCTCAATGCATTCTAGTGCGTCACAATGCCTATAGCCGTAACCAGCATGATGAGTCAGTTTGTTATGAAAGCTAAAAATGTGGCATGGCAGAAACGGGTTAAACTAAAATAATCCTTTATGTGGCCTTTTTTCTATTTTCCCTCCCACATACCCACATCATACATATTTACCTTAAAGGCATAGTGAATCTCTATCAGTTTAACTCCTACGATCCAGGTCATCTGGACATCACATCATTAAAAAGTCTGGCAAGAGGGGCAGGTGAAGTGAGCATACTGTCACCGGAAAGTCTGGCTGTAGACTAGGTGACATGAATGTTTGAGTGTTTCAGCCAAAGGCTGGGGTGATGAGGAAGACTTGCTAGAAGTGCACAAACTTCTTGGAAGGTTGATTTGGCGATTTTACAATATTCCCATCGATGTCCATGTGTGGGATGACACTAATTCCATGCTTAGGATAGTATTCCTGGCATATAGACTGGTGATGCAGGTTGTATTACAGGAAATTGAATAAATAAATTTTAAAAAGTGCCACAAATGGAGTACTACATACCTTTATATTTCTACCTATGGATGATATGGAGTCTATGCAACAAAAACTGTCAATTACCATCTGTATAATGCATATCAAATGGCAAATATGGACATTGGTAAATGGCAAAAAATAAAAGGATCTTGTCACCAAACACATGTTCATGTGTGCCTGACCTACAAGCTGCTAATTGGCAAAGCAGCCCCTCACCTAAACCTAATACCCGGATTATTGGTCACGTGTTGCTGTGATGCAACTGGATCTCTCCCTCTTCTTTTTAACCTATTGCCATCGGGTGGTTTCCTGATGCAAAAGCCCTTTCTCCCGGGCTGTATTCATAGTGGCCCAGGCCCCGACCTTGTGAAAAACGGAACTGGTGCACCATGGCACGTATGCACATGCTAACCAGAATAGAGTCCAGGCATGCCACGACATGTATGTACATGCCACCCGGCAGCAAAGGGTTAATCTCATCTTCTGACAAACACCCCCTTTATTAATAATAAATTCAATAAACTATAAGACTTAACCCACTCGCCCCGGTTTTTGTATATTTTAGTAAAATCTGTTGCATACAGATGGTTCCACAAGTGTTCAGTCACCAAGGAGTCAATTAGTTGTCCCTAGTGACAGCACTTTATTTCCCCATTCCTTGAATTAGCAGGATTACTTTTTCTATTATTATCAAAAACAACATTGTTGTTATTATTATTACTAATATTATGGTTATGATAATGTTATCAAAATAGCAATAACAATAACAATAATAGAATAAAGAAGAATCTTTCTGGAAATTAAGGAAAAGGGTAATCTGGTGAGACAGAAAGGACTAAAAATTGACTCTTTGGTAACAACACACTTGTGGAACCATCTCTTGGTCAACACAAGTGATAACTATAATTACAGAAGATATGCCATATATCTTTGTCTTCAAGGACAAGTGGCTTAATATTCACAAACAAAACCTGCAAAGCCTAAAAACAGGCTTTCATCTACATAACATTAAACAAAGCTTACCTCAATATCATTCAATTCATTCAAACTCTCAATCTCCTTAATAGGGTCCTTCAGCTGCTCTTTAATGAACGACGCAAAAGCCTCGGCAGAGCGTTGACCTCGGTATTCCCTCTTTGATGCCTGGCCGTTTCTGAGAAGCTTCAGGGTTGGGTACTTTGTGATGTGGAATCTAGAAGCGATGCTTGCTGAAATGTCAAAGGGATGAGATATTCAATGGTTGGAAAGAATAATATATACCTAAATAACAGAGCCTGCAAACACTTACTGGATCTTCACTTAACCCAATGTCAGCGGGTGGCAAGACTACAATGCCACTGTAATAAAAGTTTATCTTTTTTCTTTACACATAGATGGCTCTACGAGTGCTAAGTCACCAAGGAGTCAGTTATTAGTCTTACCTATCTCATCTGTTTACCCTTTTCCTTCATTTTTTGAAAGCTTCATTTCTATTATTTTATTGTCTTTGATGTTATTCAGATTTTAATAACAATCTTACCCTTTCCCGATGGGGAAAATGAATAAAAAATGGGGGAAATTCTGTGCATATTTTAAAATATTTTTGTGAAATGTCCATGTTTCTAGATGGCTCTGCTAGTGCTTAGCCATAAAGGATTTCATCTTTCCTTGAATTGGCGCAAAAAACGTATTTTTACTGCTGCTATAAACATAGATGGTGTTATTTTTATTATAAACATTAAAATTACTATAATGTCAAAAACATTTGTAACAGCAAAATAAGATAACGTTACATATTTTCATGAATCGATGAAAAGGGTGAACAGGCGAGACAGGCGGTACTCATAACTGGCTCACTGGCGATTTAGTACAAGTGTAGCCATCTATGTCTAAAAAAAACCTCACAATGGGCATGGCATGTACATACATGCCATGCCCATCGGCAAAGGGTTAATAATCACAATATCAATGAGAATTATAACATGCCATGCCCATCGTCTAAGATAACAATGTCAATGTTAATGTTGAAAAGAAAAACACTTTTTCCCACCAATTCAAGGAATGGGGAAATCAGGATCAGTCACAAGGGATAACTGACAGACTCCTTACTGCTGAGCACATTAAGAGCCATCTATATGTAAAAAAAAAAAATCACTAAAATCTATAGGGGCAGTACATAAACCCACTGACATTGGGTTAACAAGGGATTGTATCTTTACAATTTAGAAAATCATCTACTACTTCCTGCTTTTAATAATTTACCAACATGACATTACAGGCATATTTGATTTTAAAAAGACAGAGACCTACAGGAGGGCTCTCAAGTCAAATTATTTCTGAAACAGAAAATTCACACTAAAAACAAACAATGAAGTCAGTTTTGGGCTGAAAACCTCCACAAATTATTTGCTATATATATATTTCTATATGTTCGAGATTTGATGACTTTCTCCGACTTGGGAATTTAAAGCTTCATATCACATATATTATACAGCAGGAATGGTGAAACTTGGACAAACAATGATTATAAGATTAATACAAAAAACACTCT